TCCGGTAACCAGTAAATTAGAGAAAACATACTTGATATTGCAGCTACATATGAATGTTGTTTCTCTTTCTCAGTGGATGGTGGCTGTTCCTCTTCCTCAGGCATGCATTCACAGCCACAGATGCAAGCACATTCAGGCAGCAAATTATGAAAATGTGGCTCTGTGTCCTCAATGGCGTCGCACTCCTTTAATGTGGCACAAAATTAGAACCGGAGGGAGAAGGAAGACAGGTCCGTTTAATTGGAAACACTGCTCTGGGCACACACACACAAACACACATCCACTCACTTAGAGCAACTCATCACATGAAAGGTAAGATATCATCTCACCCATTCTGAGGGGTTTTTTTGTACAATGAGACATATTTTTTCAGAGCCTGCAGGCATTCATAAAGGTGTTTAATTTGTGAGTTTACCTCACCATTATTTAAATAGATCTATACACGTATCAGAAAATGAGGCTATTCCTATGTTAAGCTGCAAAGCTAAGGATCTTTTATGAAACGGCTGTTGGTCATAGTATCTTTAGTAGCTTTTGATATTCCAAAAGGATCACAGTGGTCTTAGTGTAGCCTGTTGCTCAGTTGTACAAATGATTGAATGCAGACAGATATTATATAAGCTGTTCTTAAACAGTATGCATGAGTGATATAAGTAACAGCTACGGTCCAGACTGCCCGCAAAAGTAGCCCAAATCTGTTTTTTACATAACAGTGAGAACAGCACAAGCCACATGGAATCTGATCTTTTCGATTCTGATTTGGGCCACTTACGTATGTGGAGTTTTAAAGTTTTGCAATGAGACCTCAGTCTGAACTGTCATATCATAATTCATCATTCATCACAATGCGCTGATGGGAGTCACTCCAAAGATTTCACATACCGGTAGTTCTTTAGTCACTCAGTGAATATGGAAGACGGCAGTGAAGTTAGTCAGTGGAGGGACGGTGAGCTGTTATACTCATAAGTATATATCACTCATAAGTTAGCTCTCTATACAAGCAAAACTTGGAAAAACTGCACAAGAAAAAAATGGTCTGCTTCCTCCCTCCTTCATAATCGCCTGCACAACAAATTCACTGACTTCAGCGGCACATCAGCTTATAAACGAACGCTTTAACACTGACTTCAGTAACTTCTGTGTTTACTTAAATATGACAGCGTGCTGCGTGCCATCTTTGTTATTGTCCTTTTGCGCATGTGGGTCAGTTTAGGAACGTGACCTGTTCACACTCAAATCTGCTATTCCACATTTAGAAAATAATCTGTACAGCCAAAAAGAAAAGAAAAAAGATAGAAATCGTTTGCCAGCTCGTCCTGTTACTAAGATGTTCAAATAAGGTCATCTTTGGTATTATTTTATACAGAGCCGTTCAACTGTTCTTGAGGGCTAATGTCCTGTAGACTTTAGCTCCAACTCCAATCAAACACACCTGATCAATGTCTTAAGGATTACTAGAAAATTACAAGCAGGTAAGATTGATCAGGGTTGGAAGTAAACTCTGCAGGACAATGGCCCTTCAGGTGTTGAAGAACTCTGGTCTATTATTTGTTCCCAGGGAGAAAGACCTACCTATAGTACCATTAAACAACTTCTGTCCTGGACCCTACAAATCTAAGTTATGGGCCTTTCCTAAACTACAGAGCTGGTGGGAGCAACTTACGGTGGAGAGTGAATCATTCAATGAATAAAAACAAGATATACCTTGGTTCAAACCTCTACACTATGAAAATTTGGGGGTCTTTTGGGAGTTAAATTGGTTGAACGCAGTTGTCACTCCTTAAAATGACCAAAGTCTACATGTTTAGAATAAGATTAAGTGTTCAGGGGCTTTCAAACACACTCACATACAGTACACACATTGCCTACACTGAAATCATCAAAGGGACTCAACCTACTGTCTAGAAGCACTCTAGACGGTGGATACAATTCATCTATTCATTCAATGGCTCCTCCATGGCCTCATTCCTATCAGGGCTTTCCAAAGACACCGGGAACAACACAGACATGAGCTGCTCAGTGTCACCCCCAGTACAGCAGCCCATAGTTTTCATCTCTTCCCCCTCAACCAGCTTCCAACAGCCCACCCCAGACAGTCAACCACAGCTATGTGGGTCCAAGGCCAGGGATTAAACACAGGTTCAAGAATCAATCCAGAGAAATGGAGACAAATCTCTGCCTCAGCCTAATCCCTCTCATATCTCGTTCCATTGTTCAGAGGTTTAATGAAGAAAGATATGAGGATATGGAGAAGGCAGACTTTAGGAAGAGGGATGATAGTGAGGCAGATGACAGGTCTTTGGGGATTGTTTGTAGGGTCAAAAACAGGAGGGTTATATTGGAGCGCAGTGAGAAGATAAGGGCCAGGCAGCATCTCGAACAGTCAAGTCAAGTCAAATATACGGTATTTATATAGCGCTTTTCACAATACAGATTGTATCAAAGCTGCTTCACAGTATCAATCAAAACAACTTAACAGTGTTTGTTTATTACTGGAAAAAGACATCCAAGTTTGGTAGAGCAGATCAGTGGTATGATGGGTCATTTAATTTGAATATCACCAACTGAGCAAGCCAAAGGCAACAGTGGCAAGGAACCGAAAAACTCCATCAAGTGACCCGATGGTGTCCTAAAACTCCATCAGATGACCCAATGGAGAAAAAAAAAACCTTGGGAGAAACCCAGGCTCAGTCGGGGCCAGTTCTCCTCTAAAAACAGTGGGTTTTCTTCTAACAGAAAGAGATTCAGTACAGTTTCTGAGATCTTTGGTCGAGTTACCTTAGGAGAGGGATGTCCAGTCCTGCACCTGAACGGCCACCTTCCTCCAACCCCACATCTAAACTGACAAATCAATGTCTTCAGGATTTGTAGAAATTTCCAGGCAGATTTTAGTTTTAGAGCAGGTTGGAGCTAAACCCTGCAGAAAGGTGGCTCAACTGGAGCAGAACTGGAGAAACCCTGCTACCCCAGGTACCTTCATACACAAATTCATACACAGTCATTGACTGACTGGGCAGGAAGACAGAGGCCTTTGGTTACAGACACAAGAAAAGCGTGTCTAAACAGAGAGCGATCTGCCACACTGGACAAGTTTCCTTTCCTCCAGTCTGAAATGTGACACATGCATTATAGCCAATTCCACATATTGTGTCTCCATCCTCCTCCTCTGTCCTCCATCCCTTCCTTTCACTCCCTCAGCAGGAGGAAGTAGAGGAGATTGGCCCCGCAGCTAAAGCCCCCTTTTCAGGCCCGCTGCTGGCGGGGTCTATCGGCAAAGCACAGGGAGCGGAGGTGTCGCTTCTGCTATGGCATTTCGGACAGTATCTACTTCTCTCCGGGTGCGGAGGAGAAAGGAGAAACAGACGGGGTATTATCAGAGAGGGATGAGAGCAGCGAAGGCATTTTTGTCTTTTTATTCCCCTCCTAAGCCTCAGGCTTTGCTCCCAATCCGATTGGTCGATACAGCCAGGGATGTAAATGAAATGCAAAGAGGAATAAGGCTGGCTTCCCGTGTTATGTGTGTGTGTGTGCAACTGCACTGCTCTCTTTGGCTCCTTCTCAGAGTTTACCATTCGTGGGCCTCTCTCTTACCTTCCCTCTTTTGTCTCCAAGTCCCTGTGCTGCGATTTCATTTCTGTCTTGTCAGTGTCCATTCGCCTGTCTAACTCTGTCCTATCGTGCCATGTACACCATCCTATGTACTTATTACTTCTCGCTTGCTTGTCTTTGCTCCCTCTCCCTGGCTGGGTTCTCAGCTCTTATCTGCTCAGGCACCCCACATTCCAGTGTTGCTGTGGCTCCCTGCCTGCATCCACGGTCACGGCGATTCCATGGGTTCACACAATCCCTCAGATGAGAGAGAGGCAAAAAAACAGGGACGGGGAGGGACTGAGAGAAAGCAGCTCAGTGGAGGAAGAGATGAATGTACATGAGAAAGGGAAATGTTATATATATTGTGATAAAGTGTAGCTGACAATCCTCAACTCAGGATGAAACCATTCTTCAAGAATACAAAACCAGCTGATTGTCCCCTTAATAACGTATAACATTGTTTCTATAAAGGTTTCGTCTTCTACACTGGTCATCAAGTGCCGACAACACAGAATCACATTTGTTTATCTTACAAAGTAAACAAAAACGCAATCAGAATGTAGAGTTTAATAATCGTTTTGAATCAAATAATAGTTGGCGGACTCCCTAGGGGACTGTTGAAGACCTCTGCACTAAAGAGAATTAGAGAATTGTTGTGGAAAATGATGGGGTAGACAGAGCAGAAAAAAAGAGACAGGGAAAAGGATGCTGCATTTTCAAATCTGTGCCAGATTAATGGGTCATTCTTAATCTCTTATGGTTGTGCCCCCCTCCCCTCAATCTCAATCTCAAACCTTTGTGATCCTAAAGTGAGAGAGAGACATGCCTGACAGCACGGGGCAAAGAATAATTATTCAAAAAGAGAAGAGAGGGAAAGATTGATAGAGGTGGGATGAGGTTCAGCACACCTTTGATCATAAACTCAATGGATATTAACATATTGAAAGTGTGAAATTTTATTACAAAACAGACACACACACACACAAATATAGCAAATTCTATTAGAGTTCCACTTCAGATTCAGTTCAGAAGTTTGAGTCCCTTACATTCACTGAGGAAATTCTCCTCATGTAGGACAGAAATTGGCTAAGGTTAACAATAACAATGAAATATTCCCTAATCCCTGATTTTTGTAAAACTGACCAATAAATCATATTGTTAATAAAATTAAACTAAATGAATGTTACTATGATGCAGTTATGGATAAGTAGCTCATACCCTACAATATAAAAGATCTTAGTATAAAACTCTGACATATTGGACCATTTTAGCATTTTACTGTGAGATGAATCTCAGTGTTTGTAAAATACACATTAAACATGGTCTATGTATTTTCTCTTTATGGCTCTTTATATTTATAACCCTCCCTCTTACCTTCTTGTGCTATCTACACCTATGTGTCGTAGGGGTTTTCAGTGTTTCAGACAATTTCTGTCTCTTCCTGTGTCAACCCTTCCGTCTGTCTCTGACTTTGTCCCGCTCTTTCATGAGGTGTGTGATGATGGAGCGGATGGCTTCGCTCTGGGGATCGGTGGGTTCTCTCTGAAGGTAACGGCTGAAGTGGCGGATGCTGCGACTTAGGAGGGAATCCAGCCCGTAACCTCTGCCCCCTGATTGGAGAAGACGTTCTGCGGCAAGAGCCAGGTTCTTATCCCAATTCGCTGGGTAGTCTACCTGGGCATCCACTATTTGACAATACAGCTGTTAATAAAACATTTTTAAAAAAGATTTCAATTAATTTAACTTAAAGACAATGTCGTCTATAATTTATGTTAACTGCTGACTCAATGTTGTATTTTTAAAACCTTTTAAGTTTTATACAAATTTATAATATGTTTGTATACGATTTAAAAGGTTATTTGCATAAGACTTAAAAGATTTTTTAAATACAACATTGAGTCAACAGTTAACATTAATTATAGAAAACATTTTATCACCAACTGTCATGATTTCAAAAACTGCATTTAGTCTACAAATAATCTCACGTGACACATCATGCTGACAAACTACATGTTCATTTCCTGAAGGTAATAGCAGAGCTTGCAAGGTACAGTAGTAGCAAAAGAAAAGTGTTAAAGGTTTTAGGTAAGCTTGGGTTTTAGGTTTTGATTCTGTGTATAATGCTGCATTAGTGCCGCTTTGCTGCTGTAATGATGCTCAGTGTGCATCGTTTTTAGACATTAAAACATGGAAAAATTCAACATGCACATTTCTATTGGGTGAATTTTGGATAGTGAACATTCAATCAAAGTATGCCAAATGGAGACTTTCAATCTTCAAACTTAAAGTTCTTATTAAAATGTTTATTTAAAATTAAATGCACACCTAACTGAAATTATCAACAACAATAAAACAAAAAAAAATTAAACCAAACTAAATTTAATTACAAAAATCTGTTAAAGTCATAAAAAAATGCAAGTAGCGACAGATTTTTCTTTCAAATTGCGATGTACACCCAAATAAAACTATGGAAGCTTGTTTCCTCCACAGAATAAAAAAACATAAAAAGGTAATTGTGAATATTTTATATCACAATTGTAACTTTTCATCTCGAAACTCTGACTTTTTTTCACAGAATTGCGTGATATAAACGATTGCGAGAGTTATAAAGTCAGAATTGTGTGATATATTTTCCCTCAGAATTTGATTTGATAACTCACAATTCTGAGAAAAGAAGTAAGAATTGCAGGACATAAACTCGCAATTGCGGGGAAAAAAGTCAGAATTGTGAGATAAGTAAATTACCTTTTTTATTTTTTATTTAGTGGCAGAAACAAGCATGCATATAAAACAGAATATCAAAGAAGAAAACATTTGTTGCTTGGTTTTATGTATCGGTTGGTGATTGGATTTTGAGAAATGGGGCTATCAAAAATAGAGGAAGATGAACTTAAGCTTGCAGGTGTCACAGTTATGTTCATCTGTCCTGTTGTGTTGTTTTGTTTTGATCTGTCACATGTCTTTCTTGTTCAGTTTTCCCACTCCTCGTTTGTCTTCAGTTGTCTCACCTGTGTTAGTTAATTATCATCATCTGTGTCACCTGTCTTCAGTTCATCAGTCTCTGTATTTAGTTCCCTTCAGTTCAGTCAGTCCTTGTCGGTTCTTGATTATGTTATTGTGTGTGTAACCTGCCTGTCTGTATTTATCCTGAAGTATATTTAGTAAATAAGTTTATATCGGACCTTCTGCCTGCTTGCCTTGTCTTCCTCCAACACCACACCGTGAAGACAGGGTTTAACTGAATTTAAAAAAATTGGAGAAGTCCTACATACGTCGCCAGAGCGAAGTCTGTCATTTTCACTGGAAGGTCCAGTTATGACATTTTGATTAAACATTACAAGGTCAAAAAAAGAAAAAGAAAATTGTTCACAATGAGACCTATGACATGCATTTAGAAAAGGATAAGGGTAATAAGGATTTCATTTCATGCCGACTTTAAGAAGAAAAAGTTGAATATACTGAAACATTAATATAGTGCTGTTTTGCAAGCACTGTAATTCCAAAAATGTATGATGTAATTTCCTACTCACATAGTAAGATAGCTCATAGAGACGCGCCTGCTGTTCTCTTTCCATGTTCTCAGCCAGGTCAAATAGGAAGAAGGCTGTCTTCATCCTAAAAAGTAAAAGCACCTAAGTATAAACATGTAGCTATATATATGAGGGTCTTGTGTCACTAATACACAAGACCGAACAATGAAGCTGACAGTGATGAGGGCAGTATTACCTGGCCTGCCACATCTCCTCATTGGCAACTCTCTCCCAGGAGCCAGGGTGGAAGCTGATAGGGTGGAATAAAACAAAATCTATGTTATATCATTTAATTTGCTATTTAGGGTGTGTTCACACTTGGCATGTTTGGTTCGATTAAAACGAACCCTGGTGCGATTGCTCTGTTAGTGCGGTTCATTTGAATAAGTGTGAACGCTGCAATCCGAACCCACCAAATAAGCGAAAAGATGGGTCTCGGTCCGCTTCCAAACCAACTCTGGTGCGGCATTTAGCCCAGCACACAGCAATGTTTTGGATGTTCGGTAAGAAATATACATAATAAAAACCGACCAGTCAGGTTGTGAACATATCCATATGCATTTAGGTTTGGTGTTAAAAATGGCGGACCAGAACTAAATGTTGTTGGGTTTTTTTTTGGTCTGAACCAAGCGAACCAAACTACAAGTGTGAACACACCCTTAGTTAATCTTCTGGATATTACGTCCAAGCTTCCTCTATGTGATACTTTCAGAAAATAACAAGTTGATGAAGTGTAAAGAAAGAAATCATTTTGTAAGCATTATTACTTTTTATGTGTATTCAGATGGCATCAAAGCAGTCTTGTCGAGTACAGACGTGAAATACAAGTTTAAAACCAGCCAATAATCCAGCGAATCATATTCTGCATATCTTCAAACCATACAACAGCTGATCTTCAACCTCGCCTGTCTTTGGAAGCTCTCTCTCTCTGTCTCTCTGGTGAACGACCCATATATTTCTGCATTTCTTCCTTTCCACTACATCGCTCATAAACGTGCGGCCTCTCCTTCAAAGGAATATTTTAGCGTGTGACTTCCCCGCTAATATTTGGCTGGCAGGCAGGGATGGACACGCTTGTAGTGGGTGAGAGGAGAGTAATGTCACACCATTCAACCCCGATTAACTTGCTGAATACCAGCCGGCTGCAGAGAGCCTCAGTGCTGGAGACTAGAACTAATTTCACTTTATACACAGATATTGACACGCCGCAGTTTAGAAAGTCATTAGGGTGGGGTCAGCGGACTAATAACGACTTTGAAGCTGGAAACGAAGGCTGTCTGCACAGCATGGAGTCAGAGCAGTGTTTAAGTACACTTTAATATCGGCGAGGACCGAAAACACTTCAATGGAGATGCATGAGGGGTCAGAATAATGCTGGGGCGCACCTGCTAATGATGCTCAGACTAGTGATGAACCTGACGGTAAATTGACTAGTATCATTTCAAACATTTATTTACATATGCATTAATTCATTGGGCACATGCTTCATTTTATCGGTATGTGTGTACCCTTGGAATCGAACCCATAACCTAAGCAACTCTAGCCACAGGCTATACCAGTTCTCTAAAGTATACTGCCCCAAAAAGGCAACAAGCTGAGCTGACATTGGAGTTAAGAAAAATGTATTCAAAGTTTTGGAGCTGAATTTTTATCAACCTCAGATTTTTTTTTTTTTTACAAAATCGGAGCTTAGCTGAGCCAAACCAAATAGTTTGACAAAATGTTTAATTGACCATCTTGCCTATGTAGGGAACTATATACGTAGTAGTTATTCTCTCCATTATCATAACGTTTTTATCTCATAGTATATGGTTAAAAACAACTGAAGCATGTACTTTATAAGTACCAAAAAGTACTAATAGCCATGTTTTTTGGACATGCACCATGGAAGTATCAACCTTATGCATCATGTGAATGCTATGGTACATGAAAAAAGTAATTATTTAGTATCATGGTATATATTATCAAGCCAGGCTGGAAACACGTGACTCTGCCTACATTTCTGCTAAACCTAGAATACGACGCTCAAAGTAAATTTCGCAAGAGCTGCTATAAGCCATATCATTTTTTTCTCCATTGCAGATGACGTTTTTTTTAAACACCCTAGTGTTATGAAACAAAGTGTCTGTGGGTACATTTTGGCCAAATGACATTGCGAGGCTTGTAGCATGTTTTACGGCACTTTCAATGTGAAATGTCTGGCACTAAACAGCTTGTTCAATTTCCTCTGACTGTTTTATTACGTTGGTTGTTGTACGTATCATGGCAGTTCGGAAATGAAATGCCCGGTGAGTGGTGCTGAACGGTTAATGCTGTATCATGTGAGCTACTGAGCAAGTTTACTCATCAGAAAAGCCATATATGGAGCTGGTTATGTGATGCAAAATGTATTAGTTTACAAATCATGCACTTTTTAAAAAGTGTTTTGATGTCATGACATGGTATTGTGCAAGGAACTGTACAAATTTAACTCTTAATTTATCAATAATCTGCTCCTTTAATCATAATTAGTTTGAAACTGAATCAAATTTGTTGGCATTTTACGGCATCTAGTGTTCATTTCAACTGGAAACATTTCAATCTACATATTAACCGAACATATTATGGCCTACAAGGTCATAAAGTCATTCCCCAGTTAACAACAAACAAAAATGACGTGCTACCTGTCATGTGACTGGCTCCAGTTGTAAAGGTCAAGTGTTTTTTGGGCCCATTTTTCAGGGTCAAAAGGGGTCTTGACAGGTACCAACTGCTCACAGACGCCCCAGGGCCAACGAGAGAAACTCCTCTCCCAGCTGGGGTCACCCTCAGTTAGACCGATACACACAAACACAGGCCTGCTGTAGACAAACCCAGAGCAAAAACTGACCATCAGTCACAACAACACGACATCGCTCTGAGTGGAGAGTTTTTAATGAGTGGGTAAAACTTCGTAATAATGTTCATTAGTAAAACTATAACAACACATGTTATTATATTATATAATGCTGTACATTCAAAAAATGACCTACTGATCTATAGTTAATGTACATTCAAATCTCAAATTAAGTTGCATTATATATACATTATTAAAGGTACATAAACCAAAGATCTCTTTATGTGGTACATAATCAACAGTAACAATTGTTTGTTGTTGTTATAATGTTAACAATTAACTTATTATTAAAAATAGCTGCTATAGAGTGTTTGGTAATACTGTATTTTACAGTGTCCTTGTAAAATACACATTATATGTAGTTACTATAGAAATAACTATAAATTATGCATAATTACATGCAACTAACCCTAAACCAAAACCTAATCCTAACCCTATAGTAGGTAGACAGAGTTCATTAATATTACTCAGTACTTAAATGTATATTAAAATAAAGTGTAACCGAGTGTTTGGCTGCGGTTTGTTACCGAGCAACATGTTTAATAGCACTCTAAGAAAACTAAAATAAATTGGTAAAATAAAAGTCTATACTTTCATTCTCTGCATAATCCAGCCAAGATGGAACAAAATAAAAAAATATTCAAATAGATGAAAAAGATACTATAGAAACAGGTACTATTACATGTCATTTTATAAAAATTGAAGTATTTAGACTGGGAAACTGAGCAAAAGCTTTTAATCCTGTGTGTTTTGTTAGAGCCATTGCAGATCTTGAATCATGGGATACACCTGGCAGGAACATAAGACTGTCTCTCTTAACAAAACAAGCCGGTTGCTGCTTGTTTTTCTCAAGTATTTATTCCTTATTCTCTCTGTTCTGCTTCCCAGGGAAATGATAGTAGTGTTTATTGCCCCCCTCACAGAGGCCGGGAGCTTTACCAAGGAAATACTGCCGTCTGGTGGAGGGAGGCAGAACAGATTGTGCATTTGCTTTGCTCTTCCAGTGTGATATAAGGGCTAGTGGAAGATGTGTAATTGGTTTGCTAAACTCTAGTGCTTTCAGCAAATAGTAAAAATATACACAAATTACTATTTAAATGAGAAAAACAGTGGATATACATTGAGAATGTGAACATAGACCAATGTGTGTTAATCTTACTGCATATTGTGCTTGAGAAACTCCTCAATGCTGAAAGTTTCCTTTTCTGTGGCGTTGACCGGATCCCACCAGCGGCCAGGAAACGTGACTCCGGGCAAGTGCTTCTGGAGTTTTGCCACATACCAGCTATACGTCATCATCTGCATAATGTAATGACAGTTTGTACAAGTTTACAATTGAAAAACAGTGATAGAGTAGTATATATATATGGCTGAAATAAATGAGCTGGATTACAGACCTCCTGGTCAACAAGGCTGAGGTCGGGCCGGAGACCCTGGCAGTAGTGGAGGTAGCGAAGCGTGTTTCCCGGGAGATCACCACGAGTCAGAACCAACGAGCCCTCCGGAAATGACATCACAACCTCACGAGCAAACCTGTCCACGACGTCATTACCGCTCTGATCACACTCTCTGTCCACACACACAGAGACAGAAAAAAAACACTTTAAAAATACCTAGTATAAAATGTAGCATGAAAACACTATGTTCAGTGTTGCTTGAGTGGCAGTCAGGGGTTAAATTGCGTGAAGACAGCATTTTGTATAATGTATAATTATCTATATACAGCAGAGGTTTTTTTGATGCCAAGGACCCCGAATAAGAGTTATTATCACTACCTAAAAACGAAAAATATTATTTAAAAAATAAAATTAATAAAAAAAATAATTTTAAAAATAAAATTACTATTAATTTTTTTTTTGCTAATTGAAAAAGATTAAATTTGCAAGAAAAATATTTGCAAGAAAAACGGTGCAAAAATGTAAAACTAAAATAAATGGAAATAAAAAAAAAAAAATTTTGCTAAGTAGTGATATTTAAAAAATAAAAATGACAAACGCATAATAAAATTACAAAAAATTAAACAAAAAAGAAAATAATATATAAAATAATATTTTTAAAAAGCCGATTCAAATATGAATAAAAACTATAATAGAATATAAATTATATTGCCCCAAATATGATCCTCTTAAGAGAGGCTCTTCCTACAATATAAAGCTAAATATTTTCATGTATGAAAACATATTTATACTGTGTGAGAAAAAATATATATGTATTAATATTATATAAATATGAATTGCTTTACATAACACATTTTAATGAAATATTGACAACAAAGACAACAAAATTACATATTGCTTTATAAATTAAACAATTGCCTTTTATATTGTTATTGCAAACTAAAGAAAATGTAATTATATATTAAATATCTACAAAATATTAATATCTAAAAATACCACCTAGCAACCCCCTTTTCTTTATTTATTTTTTTATACATTGTTGCACATTTATAAATATGATTAAATACTGTTCTTTTAAGAATTCATTTAGGGGGAAAACATACCTGGACTTTTAATTTGTTTATTCTTCATAGAAAATGTGTGTATAAGGTAAACAAAAGGGATAACATAAGTAATTGTTGCTCTTTTATGTGTGATTGTGGAGTTGTGTCATAGTGCACGGGAGTCACCAGCAGATTTGAGTAATTATTGAACCTCCGAAATCCCAATTTTGGCTAATAATGCCTGTTTGCTAAAGTCTTTAGTAAAAAAAAGTTTATTGTAGAACCTTTAGGAAATTTGCGAGCTGAAAGTGATACAAATGTTTGCGAGCTGAGTGTGTAAAAGTACATGCACATTATTCACAAATACTTCAACCACATCAGCAGTGGTGTTTACTCTGAAGAGTTTGCACAAAAGTGTAAGCATCCATGACATTCTCTTTCTTCCAGCTGTTCTGGAGTCAGTTCCTGTGTTTCTCTGTGAGCAGTGATGAGCTGGAACATCTCTCGGCTGTAATCAGTCTTGGACAGGTGTGATGAGCGCTGACAAGAGCGTCAGTCTCAACATTGATCAAAGCGCCAGTTTGTGTCAGCGATGTACCAAACCTCACCGCTCTAATCTACATGACTGCCGTGGCTAGGATGTCTAATCAAGCACAGAACTCAGCTGCTTTAATCTGCATGACTAGCGTGGCCAGGACGGCTAATCAAGCATAGAGTCAAAGCTGCAGAAGAGTGCAAGAGAGCTTTTGCTCTGATGTGTGTTGAAGCATGGAGGAAATGAGGAATTCAGAGAGTGACTGCCATGGTCTGGATGATCGACCACAAATATACAAAAAACTCAAACGTTCGAAGGTTCAATGAGTCTGTGATGTTGCAAAATAATACAGTACTGCACATTGATAGGCCCACTGCAAAATAATCAGTATTCAGACAGCAAATAAATAATACATGATATCTCCATTTGTTTGGACTTTCCAGATCTACGATTACAAAAATGGATATTTATGCTTTTTTATTTTCTGCACTGATTATGGGGAGAAATCATGGTTGAATTTAATAGATGGAATGGACATAAATATTATAAGTAAGCCAGGGCTAATGGCAGGTGACAATACGAGAAATTATACATTAAATATCTCTATGTAGGAAACCTACGGTTGTCAATGACACAATTATACAAAATATTTGACCTTATATTTTAGCCTTTTGATAATATTCAGTATCATAACTGTCTCTCAAGCTCACAAAGGCAGCATTTATTTGACCAAAAATACAGTAAAAAGTGTAATATTGTAAAATATTATTACAATTTAAAAAAACTGTTTTGTGTTTTAATATATTTTAAAATGTAATTTATTCCTGTGATCAAAGCTGAATTTTCAGCATCATAACTCCAGTCTTCAGTCACATGATCCTTCAGAAATCATTCTAATATGCTGATTTTGCTGTGCAAGAAACATATTATTATTATTATTATCAATGTTCAAAACAGTTGTGCTGCTTAATATTTTTGTGGAAACCCTTTTTTTCAGGATTTGTTGATGGATTGAAAGTTGAAAGAAATCTATCACAACATTATAGATGCCTAGCCATAATTACCTAGACATACACAAAATGTAAAAGGCCACATGGGGACTTTCTGAGAATACATTTAAATGAGGACAAAAGCGAATTATCAGAAACCTTCTCGTCTTAACACTTTCACACATGAAATCTCTTACTGTTGTGCTGTTCAACAAATCAGTATGAAAAAAATTCTCTAGCCATCTAGCCAGCATGTGTGAAGCTACCTTAATAGAAATGTCTCGTCTTTCCAATAAATAAAAAAGATCTCCATTTCAAGGAATTTTTGCGACCTTTAATTTGGAAAGGTAAATAAAAGACGTCTGAATAGATTTATAGCGTCCACTGGCACCCTGTGTACAGTTAGTGACTGTGTGTGAACGGTTCACCTGTGGTTTAAGCGGATCATGTGTGTGATGAGGCCTGCCGTGAGTATCCAGGCTCCTGTGTTCCACACCGTTCCCCGACTCAGACGGCCGTCCAGCCAACACACAGCCCAGCTCAGACCCAGACCAGCCAGAACACACACCCCAGCATCAGCCTGCAGCCAGAAGCGCTCCACCTACATACACACATTGAAGTGAAATATCTTACATTATAGAAGACATTGTTAGAACTGTGTCTTAAACTTTAACTCACCACTCCCAGTAGAAGAGGCTTCTCAATGTTCAGGTTTGCTCTCCAGGCAAAGAACACAGAGTAGATGCTCACCATGGTGACAATCAACCAGACAAAAACACAGCGCAATCTGGGGCCACATACAGTAAAAAAATATATATTTCGACTTATATGAATACATTGAAACTACATTTGATGTACAATATGACAGGCAAAACTATTGGTATGTATATTAGTCAGTTGCCTGTGAGCTTTAAAGGTATAGTTCACCCAAAAATAAAAAATTATGTAAATATTTACTCGCCCTGAAGTTGTTTATTCTGTTGAACACAAAAGAAGATGTTTTGAAGAACATGGGTAACCATACAGTTAAAGGACCCCATTGACTTCCACAGTAGGAAAAAAATGTACATTGAAAATGTTTCAAATGTTTGGTTACTGACATTCTTCAAAATATCTGCTTTTGTGTGTTCAACAGAAGAAAGAAATTCATACAGGTTTGAAACAACATGAGGGTGAGTAAATGATGAAAGAATTTTCATTTTGGGGTGACCTATCCCTTTAAGAAAATATCAGATGAACATAATTGCTTTTTTACTGAATATCAGAATGAATGTGATATTGATATTGCTTTCATTCATATCTATAAACAAGAAGATAATATCTAGTAATGAACATTTATGGTTAGCTAATTTGTTGCTTTTAGCCATGCCGGCATGTTTAAATGGATAGCTCACCCAAAAATAAAAAAAAATTGTCATTAATTACTCACCCTCATGTCGTTTTAAACCCGCAAGACTTTTGCTCATTTTCGGAACACAAATGAAGATGTTTTAAATTAAATCTGAGAGATTTCTGTCCCTCCATTGACAGCTACGCAACTACCACTCTGTCGCTACAATATCTGAAGTATGAGTTGATGAATAATATGTGAATAAAAGCCTAAATTTAATCTGTTCATCGTATAAAGTTATCGAGTCTCTTCAGAAAATTTGGACAAAACCGCTCAATACATATGGATTAGTTTTACAATCTTTTTATTAACTTTTTATGTAGCTGTCAATGGAGGGATAGAAATCTCTCAGATTCCATCAAAAAGATCTTAATTTCTGTTCCGAAGATGAACGAAAGTCTTACAGGTTTGAAACGACATGAGGGGGGGTAATTAATGACAGAATTTTAATTTTTGGGTGAACTATCCCTTTAATGAAAGAACTAAATCTAGTCAAAATAGTAAAATTAAATTAATGTCAGAATAATAATTTAATAATTTTTTTGTATGTAACAAAAACTTTCAACACCTCTTCTCCAATCCGATTACTGGACCAGAATTAGCCATTGTACAATATACACTTTCAAAATTTTGGGGTCAGTAAGTTTTTTAAGGAATTAATACTTTTATTCAGCAAGGATGCATTACATTGATCAAAAAGGACAGTGAAGACATTTATAATGGTATGTATTTAAAATAAATAAAAATAAATAAAAAATTAATGTCATTATCTATAATCTAAAAAAAGGCAAAAATGGCAAAAATAAATTAAAAAAAATTTATTCAAATATAATACAATTATTTTAAATTGTAGTAATACTTTACGTTATTACTGTTTTTACTGTATTATTGGTCAAATAAATGCAGCTTTCATGAGCATAAGACATTTGTTTCAAAAACATTTAAAAATGTAACCAACCCCAAACTTCTTGTTGAGCATCTGTGCCACTAGCAGCACCACATGGAGTTGCAAAAAAGATCAATTCAAACAGGTTTCCAACAAATGGGTAGTTCTGCCATTGGTTGAGCCAGAAGCGGAAATGTTTGACCGCTCAAAAAACCAAAGCGACGCTTTGAAAGCTGCACACAGCCATAGTGCTTACATTTACAGCAGTCTCTCCACATGAACTAAACTTCACAATCAGACTGTGTGGTTTTTCTTCACTTCAATGGCATAAGGCATTAAACTGATGGTCAGATCTCATTCAGTGAAGTCTTACCTGCTCCGGGAAGACAGCAAAATGCCTAGAACTGTCAGCGCTAGAACTGGGGAAGACAGATCATTCACACAGTGATTCCACTGAGCCCTGAGACACAAGAGACACACTTATCAATACACCCACTATGTCTTTGTGATGGACAAAGACTCAAACTCAAAGTGCTGTGAGTGAGTGAGAGTGTCTGGAAGTGTTTTTCAACATTAAGTGCAGTTTTGTGACAGCCTTCACTTCTATATGTATCCCAAACCCAGTCAATGGCCAATTTCCCTGCTGAAAGAGATAGTGCCCTGCCTGTGCCTTAATACCCATCTCTCTCTGACAGCTTATTTAGGCGTCGTGTGAAAGCGTGAGTGTGTGTGTGAGAGAGAGAGAGTGTTTGAGCTCCTTATGGCAGGTTTATGCTGTGACATGCTTGTTGTGTTCCCCTCTCTCGTTCTCACCTGTCCATCATGCTATGTGGCAGCTGTGGGGGGTGATGGGAAACGGCTGATTGGTACTAGCGGGACATAAGCTAAGCTGTCTCTCTGGGGACACCCAAACGTTTGATGAGGGTGGGCTGAGGAGACGACCCGAGCCTCGCATGATGTCTTACACTAGCGTCATCAGAAGCGCTGTGAACTTCACTGATCATTTCAAAGCCAGTGCAACACAACAGATTTGTTATTCCTAGCAGGTTCAGCTTTGCCGTTTTAGAGGGAAGGCGGATCTACAAGAACTAACTATTAACAGAGTCATTAGTCTTCATTAAAGCTAACACTTAATATAACTCAGAACACATTTTTTCTTGGTTGATCATGAAAAAGGTATGGTAATAAATTGTATAAATTAAGATATTACATTTGAAAATCTCATTTTGATTGCACAATTAATCAACAGTCAAGATGAACTAATTGTGAAATGTATTGATTACAACATTCAATTCCAACATTACTGATGTATAAAATAAGTTCAGATTGTTTAGTTACATAAATTGTGTAGTTAAATAAAGAATAGGGGTTTGAAATTTATTTTACAGTACATGCACATAGTTAATTTTATTGTGTACTTGCTAAAAAAAAAGTTAAATATGGTCACCACATGGGTTGAAGTTAGGCTTAGGGGGAGGTTCAGGGTTAGAACCTAGTTAATACCCAGTTATTGTAATTACTATAATAAATACATAGTATCTTGGGGAACAAGACTGTAAAATAAAGTGCTACAGAATATGGTGAGCTGTTGCCTTGCACAAAATGAGTATTTTAATATAAAATTATAGTAATATTTTAGTATTAAATTACAATTAATAATTGCAGTTACAGTATCAAGGGATATAATCAACAATCCTGCAACATTTACATGATAATGTACTAAAAACGAAACGTTTTGGTAACACTTTATAATAACTGCACACTATTAATCCTTAGTTAAGCATTAAACAGTTAATTAATAATTTATAAAGCATTAATAGACATTAATAAGCAGTTTATAAATACAGCTATAAATGCTTTATTCTTGATTTATAAGCATATATATAATGTGTTTAATAGTTGTATTTTCATACTTTAATAATGATCAATTTATCATTTCTAAATGAAGTATAGCATTATTTACAAGCCTTAAAATCTCCTTTGTAAATGCTTTACAAGGCATAACTAGTCCTCACTTTAGATGAGCTCACAAAAACAGTTAACTGACCACTACTAAATGCTTTATAACTACATGAATTCTAAGTGATCTTATGAACCACTGACAACTCCTAAATAACTGGTTTGTAAATAATGCAATACTTCATATAGAAATGATAAATTGATCATTAATAAAGTATGAAAATACAATTATTAAACACATTATAGATATGCTTTTAAATCAAGAATAAAGCATTTATAGCTGTATTTATAAACTGCTTATTAATGTCTATTAATGCTTTATAAATGATGAATTAACTGTTTACTAATGCTTAACTAATGATTAATTCACGTTTTCAAAAGTTTACGTTTTCAAGCCCCCAAAACGCTGTTGTCATGTAAATGAAACGGCCTAAATCCATAGAAAATTGTACCGTTTTTAGTCGAAAATGGTGTTGTGTAAATGGCCCCTAAATGGTAACAACTGTATCATTGTAGTACTTGCATAGTGATCTTTTGTGTTGCTGTTGTTGCATTTATTTTTATACTGAGATATGTTTTGTTTATTGGTCACTACATAATTCTCATTCTTATATTTCCTTCTGAAAATTAAAATAAAATCATTCATCAAATCAATTTTGTTACACTCACCGTAACATATTTTGGAGGCTCAAATTTTCATCTGTTTTTGCCTGAAGCCAAAGAAATCCACATGTGGTGCATTAGTTTCACAAAATAAACAGCATGAAAACCTCATATCCAAGTACATATACTGTATTTAATGGTTTTTAAAGCAACACCAAGCAACTTTTCCTCTGCGGTCGCCCTACAGGTTGGAAGCGGAATTGTCCATTACTGCTGTCGTAAATAATTTAACACATGCTCTCTGTTTATCCACCACCGGCTATGGAATCAACAATGGCCACAGACAAGGTAGAGTATGATGCATGATTTTATGAAGTGTAGTTGTAGTCTACTGTCGAGTACGCTCCACCTATCGACAATTGTAACGCGTGCCGTCAAATTTGTAGTTTTCTTATGTCTCATTCGGTCTACAGAAACGCGACCCGATCTGGCAATCTTACATAGCGTGGATATATCAGATAAAGGACCGCAAAGTGCTGGCATAAGTGCATTTCACCATGTCACAACTTGATGAACCACTGAAACGATTTAGAAAATATTATTTTAAGGTAAAAATTCTTGCTTAGTGTTGCTTTAAATGATAAAAGACTAATGAATCTGTGTGTACCAGGCTGAAGGTGCCATATTCAGCTCGGAGCAGGTGTGTGAGGAGGCCGTGGAGAGACGTCTGGTCTCCCCAGCTCCAGCGAGCTCTGTTGAGGTAGGAGGAAATGGGCAGGTAGATGTAGGGCACAAAGCCAGCCAGGAAACACATCCCCAAAGACACCAGACCGATAAAGGACAAACCCTGTGGGAAATACATGTCACTTGTAATGGATAGATTCTTTTAAATGCCAAATGTTCAAATTTGCATACAAAACAGCATGGACATAACACTTGGACAATACACCACTCATCTGGGAACAATTTCCTCTACGGCTTAAGTACCAATGCCTTAAGATCTTCAGTTATGAATACTAATCTCATAGTTTTTAACTATTCAAATAGACACTAATACCAAACTAAACACCACAAAGTATTCTTTTGGTTATATAAATTGATTTAAAATACATAGTAATTTGTTTATATACTGTCATTTTTTCCCTTTTTTTATGGCTTTCAAAATTCTAGCATAAAACCATCCCTTAATGTACATCTCTCTAGACCTGTTATATTTATTACATGACGCGGCATGAGGGAATGATATCACCAAATATAAAAGGTTTTTAAATCGCACTATTCATTTATTTACCTTACTGTGAAAAGCTGACAAATTAGGCTTTGAACCCTGTACCGCTGAGTGATTATCAATACTTACATTATGAGTGTAGAGGTGCAGGAGGGCCCAGGGAATTATGATGACAACATACAAGACCAGTGTGTGCTGATTACACAGGCTCAGCCCACAGAACAGCGCCCCCCATTGAGCAAACTGAGAAAAGCAACAACAAAAAAAGCATTACTCAAGCAGGCTCAGCATTACTGAGTATCAAATGGTTTGGACTGTAGTAGGAATTCACCGTAATTTCGGCTACCGAATATTCCCGGCCAAAATAGCTACTTTTGGTTTTGATCCAAATGGTTTTGGAGGGCTAAAATCAGTGACTGAAACAGAGATTTAAAGGTGCTCTATGTAACTTTTAGCGGCCTCTAGTGGTGATGTTTCAGATTGCAACCAAATTTTACAAGAGCGCTCGTGCTCGAACTCATAGACAATACCGTCTATTACGCAAATATCTCGGCGAATACTAGACGGATTCGGCGAGCACCGAGCTCGTTGGGACCATCTAGTCGAGCTGAAAAGAACCATATAAGTTCCATAGTTCCATCGGGCGCGCTGCAAAATTTGGAACGCAAAGACCCAGAGAGCTCAAATTCGGGGGAGGAGGTCCCAGGGGAACCCTTGCCCGAACGCTAGAGTGGCGGGCCTCGGGGATGCCCCCTACCGGATCGCCGTTCGCTGGGACCCCCGATTTCGAACGGCTATAACTCGGGGAGCCGGGCGAGTTTGACCTCGGGGGTGGGCTCGTTCGAAAGGCCCTGTCCAGCACTACGAACTAGAGGTCTTCTCGGGTCCTAAAAACTGTACCCGACCCGAATCGACCCGAATCACTACTTACCCGAACCCGACGTGCATAAATTATTATTTTATTTTTTTAAGAAAAACCCGACCCGAGACAGACCCGATAAAACTATACCCGAGTCTGACCCGACCTGACGCCATTTCCTTTAGAACCCGACTGGACCCGAACGTAAACGGCATTTACATTGTGCACAGCCTGCAGCCCTGCGTTTCTCAAAAATGCACTTAACATAGACGCGCAAGTGTAAGCGCGCTGAAGTGCTAAAATGTCAATCACACATCACTGTAACCCATTACGTCCTATAAAATTTGGCATAATGTTATTTACCGGTCCATACGATGATTAGAACCACCATTCGTTTTCCCTGACATTTTTCACAATTTCTGTTATCGCCTCCATGCTTTTCTGACAGTGTCGCGTATTTTTAAAATTGATTGACAGGCCTGGCTAAACGACAATTCAAATACTTGCATTTAGTCAAACATCCATCCACATGATGGCGCACTAGTTCTTCTTGGCAAAGGGAGGGGTTGGTTTATGTGGAGCGAGCAACTGACTAAATAAATGCGGAGGCAACCGTGCTTATGCTTATAGCCCATTTGCGGATTCGCTCTCTCACTTAGAAAAAGTGAGAGAACGGTGTCATAGAGTTGTTTTAAATACTGCAATTTTCTTAAATGTCCAACATAGTTTAAAAGATTTCGGGTCTTCTCGGGTCCATTTGGAAAAGGCATATTTATTTTAAATTACCCGAGACCCGAGGCCACTAATACCGAACCCGACCCGTGTCCGAGACACTCGTCGGAGTTTTGGACCCGAACCCGCTCGGGTCTCGGGTCGGACCTCAGGTTTTCGGATCCAAGTGGACCCGTGAAGACCTCTACTACGAACGATTAGAGTCTTGGGAATATTGATCAAAGATTGACTGAGATATAAGCCGAAAAACGTGCGCCTTTAACTGGACGTAACTCCCTGACCGTCTACAATAGACTGTATATAAGGAGAGAGGCTCGGGAGCGCGCATGCACGTCACATCCGTTGGATTTCGCGGTAAATCCGACCCGGAGACTTCACATAGAAATAGGAATACTGGCATTCAAAGGTAATAGCAAAACTCGACAAGTGGATCATTTTAATGTGTGATTACAACCCCTTCACACACAGGCAATAAAAAAAGGATTCATTTTAGTAGAAAAGTTACATAGAGCACCTTTAATCTGATGGCAAGTTTAATCTCTATTTCGTGCACAAACCATGGATAAGCTACAACAGTTAGCTGTGTAGACACTAGCTGTGGATCGACAATATTAATTTCTCGATTTTAATGATATGGTTTCTTCTAAAATCTTTTAGTTTGTGCTGTTTTTCTGTTGATGATGCATGAACAAAACTTCACAAACATTTTGTAGCACGCCTGCCATCCAATAAATGCCAAAAGCTTTGTGCTTTGTTAACTTTTAATATGAAGCAAAGTCTCAACTTTTAAATCCTGTCAAATTTATTACGAAATTCAAACAGTAAATGTCGTTTTGGTGATCTCTAATACAGCTGTAGCGCCTCAGTTCAAGCGCACATAAACCGATCATCTCATCTCCTCTTTACTACTAGTTACAGCACAAAATAAACATGGGTGAACACCAGAAGGTATGTTACCTAAATGAATCTGGTCTCACATAATCGCTCATTCGGTGTTTAAACCGGGGAAAGACGTCAATTAAACGGCTTGTAGGCCCTACAATGTCACTTTACGTTACATTTACATCAATAAAGCTATTCAATGTCCAAAAAACTCATTAATTAGCTAGAAAAATAACTTTATAGAAGAGCATTTTGCTAAATATATGCATTGTATTACAATATTCATTATATTTGAACTTAGCCTGTTAGTGATGTCTTCATTATTCAATGTACGTTTAAATAAAGCTGTCATGAAAACAAGTTATTACAGTTTATTGTTGTTTAAATGTTTATATTTCACCAACAAACTGGAGTAGAAACTATTCTGTTATGTAAAAAGTTGATATAAAAACAGCAATTTAAACGTTTGTACAACTCAGTTAGCTATTTGAGTGCCAAGTTTTCAGCCAAGTGCATCCTGAATTTTCGGTTTCGGCCCAGAATTGTAATTTCAGTGCATGCCTAGAGTAGTACCTTCTTCTTCTGCTGAACACTCTTTGCACAGTGGAAACAGGCTGAGAGGGAGAAGAGGACGCCCACAAACAAGTTGTTAAGAGAAAAGACTTCAGCCACGACCGACCACTGCCATACCAGCCTGGACACTGCAAACACTCCACCAGCCAGGACGGCCCCTGGACCAGGTCCCGCCACCCTGAGCACAGAGGAGGCGACAGTGAACGACTCTTACCCGAGTTAGGGTGTTTAAAAACAGGACTGGTTTTACAATGTTCTCTGACATATGACAGTATGTAATCCATAGTGCGTGTGCACACACTTTTATGCTGCAAAATAAACTGGCAAGTAAAGGAAACAGATTCTAAATTCTTAAATCTATAATCAATTTGAATCATCTATTATTTCCATTTTTATTATTTTTAATGAAAATCAATTCGATTAGAATTTTTTATTAAATTTTACAACACATTTAACACACAAACATAACATACACTTAATATAAACATAACTTACTCAAATCCCTCCCCCTCCACATTAACCCTGGCAGTCGTAAAAAAATAAAAAATAAAAAAAAATTCCTTAAACGCTAAATACATTTTTCGTGTAACCATCCCAAAGAAATAAAAATATTAAATATTAAATAAACATATTTAATAGTGATGGTGTTATGCTGTGGGATGTTGCATCGATTGAGTTCAGTTACTTATGTTTCACAAATAATTTCACCAGAAAAATGGCAGATCAATGGATGGATGTAACGTATCCCTTACAAGATACAAAACTGTAAAGATTAATCAAAGTTAAGCCACAGCAAACTATGTCAGATAAGTCTGCGCTGACAATAGAGCAAAACAATGGGCTATTATAAGTAGAAAGATAAGAAAAATTGCTAAATTAGTCAGTGATCTTTAGGAAGCCTAATGTCCAAATGAAAGTACAGCAGAATCATTGCTGTGTTCTATTCCTCTGCTTAATTTGATCACCTGCAAAATGTGAATACATCCAGACCAATAGGTGTCAGTACAGAGTCCAAATCCACTGGTACTATTGGGACAATTAGGGACCAGCTAAGCATAAACAAAAACACACTGAGTGCACCTTAGAAGTTACACTATGCAACTTTAGCCGTTAAATAAAATAGCATCTTGAGGAAGAACATTGATTTGGTTGTGCGCCTCTGAATGTTTGTGGTCTGAGGCACAGGTGTATACCGGATACATCTGTCAGACTCAGAGTATATCATATATCAAGAGTGGATGGACCAAAAAATATTGGTTTCTTCTGCACATTCTGCAGATGCTTGTCTCTATGAATGATCCATGGTCATTTTTTCTTTTTGTTTGTGTGACAAACTTTCCTCTTCATGCTACCCACGGCCAGAGCTAATGTATTTTTCTCAGTGTACGGATATGAAGTGACACACATGGGCGAATGACGCATGTATGCAATTACCTGCAAAATCTGTCCCAAAAACTCTACAATAGCCTTTAAATCGTTATTATAGGTTTATCAAAATGTATTTGTGTACAGTAGGTGACTTTAAAGACATTTAGAGAAGGAGGGTTTTTTTCACTCTAATTAATAATATTTTGAGTTGTAGACTATACTAGTATACAAAATGTAAACTATGCTATCGCCCAGCTCTAATCTAAGCTATTAAAATATTACAAACATTAACATCATCATAAAACTACTTTGAAATTATATGTATTGTGAAAAGCACATACATTTTAATTGGCTTGACTTTACTTATAAGTACTGTTTAATATTAATTAAAAGCATGTACTTACTGTAGGTTTAGGGTTAGTTGCTTGTAATTATGCATAATTTACTGTTTTTACTATAGTATGCACATGTAACGTCTAACAATGACACTAAAATAAAATGTTGCTTGTTATTGTTTATCAGAAAACAAATACACAAAAAGTGTCACAAAATTGCTTTTATACAGCATATAAAGCATGCTAGACCATATGCATAGGCGCAGAAATCTGATGTAGATATACCAGTGGTTTAGCTGGATGTTAAACAATGCCTGGTTACCATAATATAATTGCAGATTCACCTGCAATGCATATAAAATTAGGACTTGACTTCGACTTGTGAAAAAAGCCTTGAGACTTGACTTAGACTTGGACTCCAGCTGAGAAGAATGAGATGGGACAAAAGGCCAGGCGAGGTAAAAAGAAACGATGGATGAAAGGATGAGCGAGTGGGGTCAGCCTCGTCTGTTTGAGACCAGAGAACACAGAAATGAAGGAAAGGAATAAAAAAAAGTTGGGAAGACGTAAAAGAGAGAGAGCGGCAGAGGAAAAAAAACTCAGCCTGGTCTCCAACACACTGGCTTGGAAAAATTTTAGCGGGCTTGACAATTAAAGGGGGGTGGTGGGGGGGAAGCGAGGCAGTATGGCCCTCTCCTCATTGTGCCGAGTGGCTTAGAGTCCTCATCAGCCTATCAGCTAAGTGACAGGCGGAGAGCTGCTCTATTCAGCGGCACAGATACACGCCGCGGGCCAAGCGGCTGCCAGCTCCCTCCTGACCCCGCAATCCCTCGCCGCTGACAGCTTCAAGCTCCATGGCAAATTAGGCGCTCTCACATTACAATCGCACAAGACAGATTCCATTAACGGTATCTGAAATTGAGTAGAGAGCAGGGCCCTCGCCTTATCAGACCTGACTCATAAGCAGCGCCGGCACCGCCGAAGCTCGCGCGCTTAATCACGAGCCATGATACCATTTAGACGTTTCCAGCGCGCCTCTGCCTGCCGCTGTGATAGTCGGCCACAAAAGAGGCTGATGAGACTTAGGGGAAGGGGAACAATGGAGCTTTCGCAGGGAAAGCAAAGTAAGTCAGGAAAAAGGGGAGCAGAGAGAAGGATACGGATGGAAGAAAGGAGGAAGGATGGTGTGTGTGGAACTCGCGCTTGCTGACTACTTCTCTTTTCTCTTCTCCCGCTTTTTTTGCACACTACTTGCCTTTCCTCGCTTTTCTTTTCCTGTCTCGTACGAGGCGAGGCCATGCGTGTGTGCGCGCGGTTGGACTAATAGCTTGTCAGAAGCAGGCGGGGGGATTCTTGGTGATATCGGCTTCTCTCTAGCCCTCTTTACTGCTCGCGCACGCTAAGGAGGGGGGCGAGGGAGACGAGGCTCAGTGAAGGTGCGGACCCCCCACACCCTTGATTCTGCTCCCGCTGAGAGACAATTAACCCTCAGCACACGTCAGAGGAAGGGTTATAGCAGGGGTGCTATCTGGAGGTAGGGGTCCTCGGTACCAAATATCACATCCTCCCTTCTTTGACAGTCGCTTGATGTCCTCCTCCTCCAGTCTTTATTCCTCTGAGGGGGCTTGACACGGACCTCTTTAGGAGTGTCTGTCTGTTTGAAGGAAGGCATGTGACACGTCCTTCATTCCAAAACATGTAGGACCACCTGGGTCTCCCTCTCTCTCTCTCTCGTCAGTGATTAGGTGAGAGAGTGACACTTGCGTGGAGCATCACAGGCTTGTTTGCTGATATCATGTCTGCTGTGTAGGATGCTGCTGTGTTAGTGTCCCTGTAGTACTGTTTACACCTGGTATTAAGATGTGTTTTGGTTGATCGGATCCCAAGTAGACGACGCTAAATACAGGTGTAAACGGGGTCTAAAACGTTTTAAGCTTGTCCACAAAAGACCAAGAAACGAAATCTGCTGCTCCATATGTTTTTCCATCATATCCTTTTGTGTTTATATGTAAATTGCGCAAGCTTATTTTGTCAGTTCGATCAAAAAATCTGAAAAACACACACATTTACCTGCCCATAGACCCTCCCCTTGAAGAAATCAGGACAGAAGTGGTTAAAAGTGGACAAAAGAAACAGATTAAAACACCAGGTGTAAACGGGTATGTGTCTCCCTCGTCTACTTGTGATCCGATCGACCAAAACGCACCTTAATAGGCCTATGCAAACATGCTTGACTGCATTATTGCATAGAAAATGTAAAAAAAAAACTAACCCTATAGCAAATAAATGCTGTTAATTAATGTTACTTACTATTTAGCAAATATTAATATATGCAATTACCTGTGATCAATTTTATTAATTAATCAGTACATCATGCAAATGATTTCATTGAAATTTCACAAAGTAGTATTAGCATTATTAGAAATAAAATCATTATATTGATAATATGAGAATTATTAGAAATTGGTATAATTATTATGAATACTATTAGTGTGCTTTCACACTTGGTTCGATTGCCTGATCCGAACCCAAGTTCGATTGCTCCCCCTGTGCCTTCTGGATTATGTTCACATTATATTGTGTGGGTCTGAAACAGTGCGCTTGCATCCTCAAAGCAGCAGCTGTTTACCCTGTTTCTTGGTAACGACGGCGCAGGAGAAGGCGACAAAATCCCAGCATTGCTCATCTCACTTTATTAATTTTGTTTTTGGAGCCTTTGGTTTTGTTTTCAAAGCATCAGTGCATAACGGTAATTGCGTCTATCAGATGTGAGTGTACTGCAAACTTTCTAAAGAACGTGGGAGTCCAAGGCGATCAGAAATGAGATATACATTTTCTCTCCTTGCAGTGCGCCAGTCACGCACACACACAAACTGCTTTATCGAATCAAACGGCAATAGCATACAATAGAGGTTCGGTTCCCGTTCGTGATTTAGTGCGATTGCGATTCATATCTGGAGTTCACATGAACCATATCGACTACCCTTTTTATGCGGACTCGAGTACGGTTTGCAAGTGCGCACCCGAGTTCGGCAAACAGCGTTCACATCATCCAAACGAACCGAACTCTGACGTCAGGTGAAACCGTGCGCGCACCAAAAGTGCTAGTGTGAAAGCACTCTTACGGTTTTCTTGGTTCTTTTTCTCTTGCATTCTGTCCTTTTTAGGGTGTTTTGGTTAGTTTAGATGACTTTGGTCCGTGGTGAGTTCATATTTCAGTCGAACCGCACCAGAGTTCGTTTGGACGGAAAAGTTTTACAGACTTTTACAAGCGGACGAGACCGCGGAAAAGATGGGTCTCGTCCGCTTGTTTGGTGCACCAGGGTTCGGATGGCAGCGTTTACACTTGTTCAAATGAACCGCACTAACAGAGCAATCGCACCAGTTCGTTTTAATCGAACCAAACATGCCAAATGTGAACACACCCTTTGAATTATTAGGAATGAATAATGCATTTGTGACTATAGAGTGCAAC